TTTTCCCAAACCAGGGTATATTGATATCAAATACCATAATTTTAATTCCTAGATAAAATAAATTGAATTATATGTTGTTTTGTTTTGGTTTGTTTTTTTGCAGCCGGGAAAAGAATTCTATCCTATAGATAAGAATGGGAAGTGGTTGTATCACAAAGTAGATCTACGTGACACTTGGGAGGTAAGTTCATGTGAGCATCTTACTTTACAAAGTTACATTTCAAAGTTGCAATAAGATTGTTTCTCTCAGATTTATGAAGAGTTGCAGTTTTTACTCCAAGTGTAAAGTAGCAGTTGAGTTGGCATTTCTAACCATAACTACAGATATATGAGCTTTCACTTCCTGGGGCTGAATACATTATTTTGTTTTGTTGAAAAGAAAAATGACAAGGAAGGGTAAGAAGAAGCTGTAGAAGGAAAAAGAAAGTAAATGAATATGTCCTAACCTAATATCAATTGGAAATATATAAATGAGATAAACTCATAAACTTAAAATTTGAATTTTAAAAATCAATAAAAATAAGTGAGAAACTCACAAATCAAACAACCAATAATATGGTGTCTAAAAGAAACAAAATGAAAACAAAATGATACATATGAAAAACTGAAAACTAATTCCAGTTTCATTTTTGAACCAGCTGTTGACTCCTTCCTCAAGATGACAAGATTGGAAAATTGTAGGGAAATAAAGTGGTTATAGATTCAGGAAGAAGAGAGGGATACTTTGAACTGGTTTACTTATGAGGTGTTATGGAGCTGTGACCCAGAATGGAAGGGAACCTAAGCACAGTAAGAAGAGAACACACATAAGAGAGGAACTCTTAAGGTCTCTTTGTGCTTTCCTCTCTCCCATGGTATCTTCACCTTCAGAAGCTTATAACTTGTGTTCAGGTGTCTTCAGGAATCCTAAACTTGTAAGAAGCTGAAAAAAGCATACTATTTGCTGCCTTCTGGCAACTGTTTTCCTCTTTCCAATATTCAAAATTCTAAGGGCTGGGAAATTGTACTATGATGAGTGTGTCTTCCTATTTCCTCCTGGAGCTAAAAGGTGAAGACCTGAACCTGTGAGGTTGTGTGGAGAGCTAAGGAGGAAGTGAGCAGGTGTTCTGGTCCCCAGGGCTCTCTGTCCAAAAATCTATACACTCACTCCTGACCTCATTATTGCTGCTGAAGCTTGGGGTATGACATCCTCCCCTCATTGACAAGATAGATTGACAGGGTCACCCATACTCTCAGGAGAAAATGAGTTTGGGCTCAAACTAACAAAGCATTTATTTCACAAGAGGACAACATATCTCCATTACATCTCCCTGCATAATAATAACAGAGAATCAAGAACTTTTAAATCATAAATTAATATATTTGCTATATAAAATAATGATAAGCAATATGAAACTAGAACAGGAAAACATTTTATACAAGCAAAAATAATAATTAGAAAAATAAAAAGTACAATGAAATAGCTTGGAATAAATAGAATGGATACAGATTTTAAATATTCAATTAAAGGACCAGAACATACCCATGTTTATAGCAGCACAATTCATAATGACTAAATCCTGGAAGCAGCCCATATACCCATCAACAGATGACTGGGTAAAGAAAATGTGGTATCTATATATAATAGAATACTATTCAGCTATAAAGAAGGACAAATTTGAGACATTTGTAGGAAAACAGATGCACCTGGAAAATATAATGCTAAGTGAAATAAACCAGCCACACAAGCTTAAATACCATATGGTATCAGTCATTTGAGTAAGACAAAGTTCAAATAAAAAGAATAATAAAGGATGGAAAGAAGGAGAAAGAGAATAGATACCTTGCAAATGAAAAGTGGTCCAAGAGATCAAAGATGAGGGGTGAGGGAGAGGGAAGACAAAATAAGTAGAAGAAAGATATGCCATGTACAGGAACCTAATTATTGCAATGAATGTAAACATTACATGTCATAAACAAGAGTTAAGATTAATAATATCAACAACAATGAAAACGGGGAAAATGAATTAAAAGATGGAGGGAGGAAGCTACATGTATTATGTATATGTACCTACTTCCCAAAATGATTACAAACTGCATGTACTGCAAACATGTACTAATAAAAAAAATTTTAATGAGCCAGAATGAGAAAATTTTCCAATATGAAGAAGGAAAAGAAAAAATTTTAAACATTAAAGGAGAGCTGAGTTGTAAAGAATAAAACTAGATTTTCTAATATTCAAAGAATAGACATCTAAGAAAAAAGGAAAAGAGATAATATTTGGAAAAAACAAAGATATTTAGTGCATCACATTGTACAAACAAGGAAAGATGAGGAAACCAACACCTAGAGGCATTATAGTGAAATTTCAGAATTTTAGGTCTAATGAAGAAATGTTAAAACTTTCAAAGTAGAGCAAAAAAGTCAATAAAGGAAGCAAAATAAAATAATAAAAAATAATCTATCTAAGAGAAGTCAAGAAAGGAAAATAAATAGATGGGATAGTGGAAAATAAACAGCAAGATGAGCAAAATATACTATTGCAGAATATATAAATAGTCTAAGCATTTCAATTAAAAGGCAGGAATGGGCCAGGGATTTAACTCAGTGGTTTTGCCACCTGCTGTGGAAGCACAAGGACCCAAGTTCAATACCCAGTACCAAAAAAAAAAAAAAAGACAGGAGTTGTAAGAATGGATACAATTCCATTATATTTTATATACAAAGAACTCATTTTAAATAAAAAGAAACAAGTTAAAAGGAAAAGATTTATTTTAAAAGATAAAAGGATGAAAAAGATATATTAGCCCAGAACTGATCAAAAGAAAGCTACAGTGGATATTTTAATATCAAGAAAGATTTCAAAGCAGAGTTTACCAAGGATACAGAAGGTTATTTTATGATTAAAAGGTCAATCCTAAACACTATACACTTTCCAACAATAAATCTTCAAAATAAAAAAGCATAAATTAAGGGAAAAAGCAATTCATACTTAAGGACATTTTTAAGACATCTCTTAATCATTGAGATAGTAGCCCACGCGCCAGCCCTGCAGAGCCTGCCAGCCTGGCTCCCCTCCCCGGCCCCAACAGGTGGGCAGGCTGCCCTGAGGAGGGGGGAAGGAGAGGACTGGGCCGTCCTGGCAGGCGGGCGACGATGCCGAACTTCTGTGGCCCCCAACTGCACGCGGAAGAGCACGCAGTTCGACCTGGCCTTCAGGTTTCTGCGGGGTCTGGCCAGATGCCAGAAGTGGGTGGAGAATTGTAGGAGAGCAGACTTAGAAGATAAAACACCTGATTGGCTAAATAAACATTATCAGTTTAAATAAACATTAAACATTATCGGTTTAAATAAACATTGAACACTTCGAGACCTCTATGATCTGAAAAACTAATCCTTATAGGACCGTTCTTCGAGACAATGCAATACTAACAATATTTGATCTTACCAGTCATTTGAACAATCCACATAGTAGACAGAGAAAACAAATTAAAGAATTGACTGAAGATGAAATCAGGACACTGAAACAGAAAAAAATTGATGAAACTTCTGAACAGGAACAGAAGCATAAAGAAACAAACAATAGCAATGATCAGAATCCCAGTGCCAAAGTTCAGGGGGATGAACAGGATGATGACATTTTACCTTTAACCCTTGAAGAGAAAGAAAACAAAGAATACTCAAAGTCTCTATTTGAAATTTTGATTCTTATGGGAAAACAAAACATACCTGTAGATGGGCATGAGACCGACAAAATCCCAGAAGGTCTCTTTACAGCTGATAACTTTCAAGCTTTGTTGGAGTGCCGGATAAATTCTGGTGAAGAGGTTCTGAGAAAGCGCTTTGAGACCATAGCTGTTAACACATTGTTCTGTTCAAAAACACAGCAGAAACAGATGCTAGAGATCTATGAGAGCTGTATTAGGGAAGAAACCCTCAGGGAAGTGAGAGACTCACGCTTCTTTTCCATCATCACTGATGATGCGGTGGACATAGCAGGGGAAGAGCACTTACCTGTCTTGGTGAGGTTTGTTGATGAATCTCATAACCTGAGAGAGGAGTTTGCTGGCTTCCTGTCCTAGGAACCTGATGCAGAAATTTTGGCTGTGAAATTTCACACTACAATAACTGAGAAGTGGGGACTAAATGTGGAGTATTGTCATGGCCAGGCTCATATTATGTCCAGTGGATTTTCTTCTAAAATGAAAGTTGTTGCTTCTAGACTCCTAGAAAAATATTCCCAAGCTATCTACACACTCTCCTCTTCCTGTGCCTTAAACATGTGGTTGGCAAAATCAGTGCCTGTGATGGGGGTATCAGTTGCATTGGGAACAATTGAAATTTGTTCTTTTTTCCATGGATCACCACAACTACTTTTAAAACTTGACAATGTAATTTCAGTTCTTTTCCAGAACAGTGAAGAAAGGGGTAAAGAATTGAAGGAAATATGTCATTCTCAGTGGACAGGCAGGCATGATGCTTTTGAAGTTTTAGTGGACCTCCTGCAAGCACTTGTTTTATGTTTAGATGGTATAAATAGTGACACAAATATTAGGTGGAATAACTGTATAGCTGCCCGAGCATTTGTACTCTGTAACGCAGTAACAGATTTTGATTTTATTGTTACCATTGTTGTTCTTTAAAATGTCTTATCTTTTACAAGGGCCTTTGGGAAAAATCTCCAGGGACAAACTTCTGATGTCTTCTTTACAGCCAGTAGTTTGACTGCTGCATTACACTCACTCAATGAAGTGATGGAAAATATTGAGTTTTGGTTTAAGGAAGTCACAAATTTGGCAACGAACCTTGATATTCAAATGAAACTCCCTGGTAAATTTTGTAGGGCTCAACAAGGTAACCTGGAATCTCAGTTAACCTCTGAGAGCTACTATAAAGAAACCCTGAGTGTCCCAACAGTAGAGCACATTATTCAGGAACTTAAAGATATAGTCCCAGAACAGCATCTCAAAGCTCTTAAATGCTTATCTCTGGTACCCTCAGTCATGAGACAGCTCAAATTCAACACATCAGAGGAACATCATGCTGACATGTACAGAAGTGACTTACCCAATCCTGATACACTCTCAGCTGAACTTCATTGTTGGAGAATCAAATGGAAACACAGAGGGCAAGACATAGAGCTTCCATCTACCATTTATGAGGCCCTCCATCTGCCTGACATTAAGTTTTTTCCTAATGTGTATGCCTTGCTGAAGGTCCTGTGTATTCTTCCTGTGATGAAAGTTGAGAATGAGTGCCATGAAAATGGATGGAAGTGTCTCAAAGGATACTTGAGGAATGCTTTGACAGACCAAAGGTCAAGTAACTTGGCTTTATTTAACATAAATTTTGATATAAAACATGATCTAGATTTAATGGTGGACACATATATCAAACTATATACAACTAAATCAGAGCTTTCTACAGATAATTCAGAAACTGTTGAAAATACCTAAGAGATTTCTACAGTGGGATTTTTCTTATATTTGCTATCTGAAAGAAAAGCTATAAGGGGTATGTAGGCCACCTAATCACTGAATATGTTAGCCTACTGGCCTGTCACTGAATATATTAGCCATTGATAATCTCCATATTTAAATGGTCCCTCTGAACCCTCGTGCACCTGAGACCTGTCTGTTCTTCTCCATGGTTCCACTGCCTGCCTCGCAAGTGCAAGTTCCCATGTTCCATCCCTGGTACCAAAAGAAAAAAAAAAGAATGGCAGAAGATGGCATTGTAAGTGTCACGCTTCACTTGGGAGTGACCTCTGCTGGTGGCATTATGGAATTATTTTAATTAAGTTATTTTAGACAACACACTGTCATTGTGGATCCACTTTCAAGTATTGAGTTGTCAGTTTTTGAAGAAATGAATTTTGAGGTGGTGTGGGAGAAAAGAATGCTTCTTATAAAATGTTATGGTGAAAGCCATCACTGACCTGTGATTAGTAGGAGTTTTAAATATGTTATTAAAAATCTAATGGGCAGTTAAGGGAATTACTAAAGAGAAGTTTATGAGCCTACCAGATTTCAATGTAGATTTTGTCTTATTAAATGAACGTAAAAGAAGAGGTTACTGCCAAGTGTGGTGATGCACACCAGTAATCCCAGCACTTGGGAGGTTGAGCCAGGAGGATCACTGTGAGTTTGAGGCCAGCCTGGGCTATATAGTGAGTGCAGGGCCAGCCTGAACTACAAAGGGAGACCCTGCCTCAAAAAACCAAAAAAAAAGAAAAAAAAATGAAAAAGAAAAAGAAAAAGAAGAGGTTACAGTTTAAGCTTGAACAGAAGAGCTTGCCATTGTTATTCCACATCTGGTTATTGCTGTTTACATTCCTTTGTGGAACCTACATCTTCATAAGCTTCTTAGCAGGTAAATGTTGAACACTTCTGCTTCATCATCAAGGCAGAATCAGAGGCCATCCATACAGGCAACTGACTTGTCTGTCTTCTTGTCTTTTTCCTGACTCTTATCTACTGCCTCTTCATTCATAAGCAAAACTGAAAACCTACAAAATGAATATTTTGTGGTATATCTAGAAATAATACAGAAAATATTGCTGTTATTTTTGGTGAAGAAAATTTTGTATAGTTTATTTCAATCTAAATAAAA